ATTTATATAAATAAGCTTAATTTTTTAACTTTTTAAAAAATAATTTTAATCATTTCCAAATTTTCTTTTTTTACATTCCACCAAAATGTCAAAAAAAAATTGTTTCAAGAACAAAAAGGCCTTAAGTAAAATTTTAGTCAATTTTTGCCTTTAACTATTAAAATCAGACAAAGAAAAAGCTGTATTTTAATCAACTTTTTAAAAATAACCTGATTTTTTTTTACTTTTTATAATAGAAATATGCCACTAACTATCTAAATCAGACGAAATTTAAGTTGAATTTTAATCAATTTTTCTGATTTTTTTACTTTTTACATCAGGAAATTTAATATAACATAAGATTACATAAAACTTACAAATTTGTATAGTTTACGCAAGTTTATGATCAAAGTATTTTGTAATTTTTGCAAAATGTGATAGTTACGTAGTACTACAGTTAATGTATTCTATCATATTAACATACTGTATGATTTATAAAAGTTTATGATTAAAGTATTTTGTAATTTTTGCAAAATATGATAGTTATGTAGTACTACAGTTGATGTATTCTGTAATAGTTACAAACTGTATGATTTATGAAAGTTTATAGTTAAAATATTTCGTAATTTTGTGATATATTATAATTATTATATATTACTAAATAGAATACTCCATTATATTTACAAACTGTATAATTTACAAAATTTACAATTAAAATATTTCGTAAGTCATTATTATATTATAATTATAATATCCTACTGAACGGAATACTCCGTAATATTTATAAATTGTATAATTTACAAAAATTTACAATTGAAGCATTTTGTAATTTTTGTAATATATTATAATTATAATATATTACTGAACAGAATACTTCAAAATATTTACAAATTGTATAATTTATAAAAATTTACAGTTAAAGCATTTCATAATTTTTGCAATACATTATAATTATGATGTACTATAAATATTTATGTATACTTATGATTAAAGCATTTTTGTATAATATAAAAAATGTTACTACTAACAGGTAAGATTTTATGTATCACTACTCTATCTTACATGTATACACTAAAGCTTTTCTCTTTCTGAATTAATATTTATAACTTTCATTTAAAAACATTAGGATTTTAATAAAAAATTTTTTTCTCTCAGATTTTCTTTTAAATGTTTATTAATTTATTATTTGTATAATTTATATTCTATGCTATCTATGTTATGTTTTTTAAAATTTTTAACCTTATTATAATAAGCAATTACCTAATTTAATTAGAGACTTTTAATTATATTTTGATATGATTGAATTTATGAAAGTCCATTAATATATAAAGTATATATTATGATATAAACAGTATATTCATAAGCCTAATTTTTTACATTGTATTAAAAAGTTGATTCAGCCTACTGATCATATTTAGGTTATAATTTAATGTTCTAGATAAGTGATTGATAAAATATTTTGCCATTTTTATAACACCTAAAATATCAACCAAGAATCAATAGCTAAAAAATAACTAATATTAAAATTTTGTATAGTAGCAGTCATAAGTATCTGACTATCTAAGATCATCTAAAATTATTATATAATTATCCCTTAAATTTTCTAGAAATATAATGTAATACAATACATAATCATCTGTAAATTTATAAGTATCAATGATATAAAAAAAAAATTTAGATGATCATCAAACTTTTGCTTAAAAAATGAAACTTTCTTTAGAAAAATGATATAAAATTGTCTTTTTACATGAGCATCCAGTTGGTCTAAAGTTTAGTTTTAGATTTATTATTAAACAGGTACATTGTAATAAGTTTACAGCTATTTATTAGGTTAAAAGATATTATAAAAATTGGGACTTAAGTACTTCAGAAAGACTGGGACAGCCTTGTGTAAGATCTGCAAAATAAGATGATAAGATTGTAAAAATGGCAGAGAAAGAACATAATATAACAGCCATTTAATACAAAAAAAATGGAAGAAAGAGGCGTTTGACTTAGTATAGAAACAATAAGGTGACATTTTTGTAAGTCTAAAGAAAAGTTTAGTAATGAAATTTCTAAACCTTTGCTTAAAGAAAACCATTGAAAGAAAAGGTTGTAATGGGTAAAAAAATATAAGAATTTTGATTGGAATCGAGTTGTTTTTACAGATGAGAATACATTTCAATTATATATATCAAAAAAAGGTTTAACAGTTTCCTGGTAGAAAAAAAGTGTTTCATTCTGTTAAGCATCTACCAAAATTTATGTTTGAGAATGTTTTTCTGCTTCTGGATTTAGTATACTATTTATAAGCAAGGTCTTCTGGCTTTCACCTCTAAACTTTTTAGTGAAAGTAATATAGATTGGATCTTGCAAGAAGATAATAATCTAAAGTATTAATTGAAAATCATGAAAAAATGGAAGAAAGAAAATGACATTGAGGTATTTTCTTAGCTATCAATATCTTCAGACTAAAACCCTATAGAAAATGTTTAGAAGTTAATGAAAATTAATATACAAAAAAAAATTCAATCAATTAGAGGGTTAAAAGAGAAATTTACAAAATAATGAAACTAATTATCACCTGTATTTATTACAAATTTGGTAGTTAGTATGAAAAGGTGTACAGCTGCACTTATAGAATCAAATGGTGACTACACAATATATTAATTTTAGTTAGTTGGTTATGTATTTTTTAAATAAAAAAAATTTTTTGAATTTACTTACTTGTAGTCAAAGTTAGAGGCAGTTGGATACTTATGATCGCTACTGTATATAAATATGATGAAAATAATATATTAATAAACTAGTTTAAAAATAAGAATATCTAAAAAATAATATTTTTAAAATAGTGTTTTAATGCCATTTTGTTTAAGAATCTTTTTCACTAAATCTGCTTATAGTCAATATGTTAGTTTTTGCATATCTGCTACTAAAATAGTGAAGAATCTGATATAAATAAAATTAGTGATATGTCATTAAATAATTAAAGCATTGAAATCAATGAAAATGATCAAAGTTTTTTGAATTATAATGACCAAAATACATTAATTACAGAAGGTGGTGAACAAAGTATGTTAATTTTAAAAGGTGATGATCAAAACACGTCAATTCCAGAAGGTGATAATCAAAGCATGTCAATTTTAGAAGGTGATATTCAAAGCATGTCATTTTTAACAGATAATGAATAGTCTGTCTTTGATGATATTTTAGAAAATACTTTAGAAGAATCTGAATTTGAATCTGAAATAAATACAGATTATTCAAATAAAGCATATGGTGATTTAATGGCATTAGTTATAAACTATAAACTTAGTAATAAGACAAATAATGTAATAATAAGATTTTTAATAAATATGCAAATCTTAATACATCTTCATTTCTAAAATCTATCGAACAAGGACATATATATATAGATAATATAAATTTATCACATTTGACATATCTAAAACTTGTGTAATAGATTATAATAATAAGGAATATTATTTTTATCATTGATCTTTATTAAATTGTATAAAAAATATTTTATCTATTTCTAATATATTATGAAACTTTACGCTAACTTTTGAAAAGCTTGAGATAATTATTTTATTTTATTGAGTTTTTAATATTTATATTAATAATATAATATATATTATTAATATATATGTAATATAATAGAAAAAAAATATACAGTGAACAAAATACTGAAATATAGTGAGAAAATACAGAAAAAACCATTCCATATTATTTCAAAATCTTATAAATAATATTATATTCAGATGCTACTAATGTTGATATATTGGAAAAATGTAATCTTCATCCCATTTATATGTCAATTGGCAACATTAAAAATTAGAGGCATAACAAACTAGATGTTAAACAACTATTAGGATACTTGCCAATCCTAAAAGTCAGTGATAATACTGAAAAACAATTGAAAACTTTAAAAATGTTGCTCATGAAGCCTTTCATAAATCTTTAAAAGTTTTGCTAAATCCTCTTCTAAATGATAATGGTATAGATTTAATTTTAAATAACAAAAAAATTTGATTTAGTTCTTGAGTTTTAATCGTAATTACAGATTGGTTAGAAGCTGCAACATATTGTCTTACTTTTAAATTATTTATGTCAAATTTTCCCTGTTATTTTTATTTAGTCAGAAAAAATGGTCTTGCAAATATTAATTTAATGACAAGTAATATGAAACTATGAACATATAATGATATGAACCAATTTTTTAATTAAAATTTAGCAAGATCTGTTTGCATCAAAAAAGTGCATAATTTTTTTTAGAAACTATCATAAGTTTACTTAGCATTTGTATTATAAAATTTATTATATTTATTTAATATTTTATTTGTCTATTTAAGTAATATAAATATTTATGAAGTTACAGTATCAGATAGAATACATCATCTCGATTTAGGTCTATTTCATTATCAAATTGAATACATAAGAGAAATTTTAAAAAATCAGTTTAGTAATTTTTTAGTAAATGAAATAGATTGTAGATTAGCTATAATATCAAGATTCTCTAGATTAAGGATCTTTACAAATGATTTACAATCAATTGTTAGATTAACTACTAATAAATACTGTAGCTTAATAAAAGTGATGGTTTTTGTAATAGATAATCTATATAAAGAAAATACAAAAGGAGTTAAAAATTTTATTAAAAATAAAGATTTGACATTGCTTTATGAAGCATAAAATGATATGTATGCAATTAGTAAATTTAAAATGTTTAAAAAAAGTGATCTGAATAAATTTAAGGTATATATAATAACACTAAACTTAAAAAAACTTCTGTATTCTAATAGTTAAATCTTTTTAAAATTCAATAGATAATTAGTCTCAAAGATTTATAAAAAATTTTCAAAATATCTCTCTATTAGAGTTAAAATTACCAAAATTACATTTATAGGTATATTATATAATTGATTCAATTTGATCATTTAGTATAATTAATAGATATATCATGAAGATTTATGAAAGTCTTTACAAAGAATATGTCAAAAATCCATACTGATTAAGTAATAAAAGGAATATTGAAACTCAAATAATGAAAATAATAAGTTATATAAAAATTTACAATTATATGATATTGTGTTAAAATTATTTATATAACACAAATTCAATAACAGTCAATTATAAACTTAACCCATTTATCAATAAAATTGCCAACCATTTTTCATGTATTTAAATTTTCTGCAAAACTTTTTGAGTTTAAATTGAGTAATGCAAACATATTTTTTGAGAAAAAGGATTTAGATCCTGAAATAAATGATAAAATGAAAACTAGATTTACTAAATTTGTGAAAAGTTTATATTTATATTTAGATCAAGTACCTGATATAACTTCTACAAATAATGCAAAGTGAAGACATATAAATTTGTTATATTAGAAAATCTTTCTATTTTATACAATGATAACAAATATTATAGTTATCTTGATTTAGTAATGTGTCTATTTACATGAATTCTAATGAATTATTTAAATATACTTTAGATCAAGGCATTTGTTACAAACAGGTAAATAGTTTAATTTATTTAATATTAAATATAATATATTAATAAATTTAATATTTATTCTTAAAACTTTATTAAAGGTTTATTAATAGCGAAAATAAATATTGCAAAACAAAACATTTCATTAAATCTCATATTAATTAGGTAGTATGACTTCAAATCTCAAAGTAATCCATATTTTTATGGATGTTTTTGATTAGAACTTACAGAAATTTATAACTTTATTGACATAGAAGTTATACTAAATATAATATATATTATATTACGCTTTGATTTAGATAATGAATATTTTGTTAACAGATTTATATTTTAGTTTCAATAAATTTAAATCTTTTGTGATAATTTTTTTAATATACAGTTTTCGAAAAAAGTAATGAGAATAAAATATAATAGAAAAAAATTAAAAATTTTTCGCAATATACAACTTATAAAAAAATCCTATCATATGGTAATACAACAATCATTTTTGTTTATGATGATCATCATTGTTTTTGTTTTGTTTACATTTTACTAAAGTTACATTAGACACATAATAGTTTAAGTTACACTAAATAACACTATACTATAATAACCTCTTTGTGAGAAAATAATATCTACAATGCTCAAACTTTACATAAACTAACTTTTATTCCTCTTTCTACTATTTATAAATATATTAAAAAACTCAAAAAATACCATTTTAGACCCTTTACCTCAAGTTGAAAGACCAAAGAAACTTTCACCTAAAAAACGTCATTATCTTGATCAGCTTATCTTAATAAAAAATTCTCAACATATACTAAGCTTGCAAATATTTTAAATGTCAAGTATACCAACCTTGACATAACTGACAACACAGTGCTTAATGAGCTTCATGATCTCAATTATATTTGTAAAGTTCTAAAATCTATACTCCTTTTTACAGAAAAACATAAACAAAAGCATATTGATTTTGCTACAAAATATAAAAATCAAAACTGAAATAAAGTTATTTTTTCTAACAAAGTTACATTTCAGATATTTAGGAATACCCAAAATGTATTCTACAAAGCTAATCCAAAACCTTCACAAAAGCCTATGGTAAAACATCTATATAAAGTTCATATATAAAATGCATTTTCAATCAAAGGTCAAATTGGCATTCTTTTTACTGGAAATATAAATAGTATCTTTTATTGTGAAATTTTAAAGGAAAATTTCTTTGACAATACTAATTCTATTATGAAAAGGTCTTGGGTATTCTAACAAGATAACGATTCCAAATACATGACTAAAGAAACTAAGAAATTACTTGCAAATTATTATTTGAGGTTGATAGACTGGCTATCAAATAGCTATGATCTCAATCCTATAGAAGATTTATAGAAAATAATGAAGAGCTATGTAGAGAAAGAGGTTAACAAACTGGTAGCTAAAAAAAGTCTAATTACTGTAAATATTTTTTGCGAAATAATTCAAAAAAAATGAAAGAAAATTAAGTTTAAAATTTTTGTTAATTTAATTCATAGTATGCCATCAAGATTAGAACAGGTAATTAAACAAAATAGTGATAAGGCAGATTGCTAAATAATTTTTAGGAATATAATCATAATATGATAAACAACTTTTTATAAATTTTTCATATATTTTTAATCTTTAATTGTTACACAATAAATAAAAATATAATTTTTATTATTTTTTTCGAGAACTATATAATAATAATTTTTATTTTATAATATTATTTTATTAATTTTGAACTTATCGATTTATAGTATATAACATGGTAATTGAAATAAAAAATTTTTATTGTATATAACTAGTTCAAATATATTTTAATTATAATTATTTTTTTTACATAAAATTCACAAATTGATATTATTTTAATAAAAAATATGTAATTTTTCAACTTTTATAACCAATTATATCTATAAATATAATAATTGAAGCCTATTAATATAAATAATTTATTTATTATCAACAACATAAGATTTTCAATTAACTTTTTACTAATGTAATTTTTGAACCCTATTAATATAAATAATTTATTTATTATCAATAAATATAAGATCTTCAATTAACTTTTCACTAACATAATTTTTGTAACCTATAAAGGTGTAAACTTAAAAGGATAAATATCATATATTTTATAAATTATTTTTTACAATATTATTGGCTTTTCAGATCAAATTTCTTTTAATTGATAATATATGCAATATTCAATGAACTAAATCAGAAGGCAAATTTTTTTACAAATATCTAGTATTCTATACAGATTCAGATCAATCTAAATCCAATCTGAATCTGACAGATTGGATTCAGATCAGATCTATCAGATTTGGATCTAATTCTGATTCAGATTTGGATCAGATCTGATTTGTCAGATTTTAATTGGATTCAGATCTGATCTGTCAAATTCGAATTGAATTTGAATCTGATCTATCAGATCTGAATTCAACTTTTTTAAAGTCAAAAAGTTCCTTTTCAATGAATAGGAATAAATTTTCAGATTTTTTAGAACTAAAAATTTGTTTTCTTTCATTGAAAAGAAACAAATTTTCAGATCTCTTTTAAAATCAAAAAGTTCCTTTTATTGAAAAGAAACTAATTTTCAAATCTCTTTTAGAGCTGAAAAGTTCTTTTTATTGAAAGGAAACGAATTTTTAGATACTTTTAGATCTGAAAATTTGTTCTTTTTATTAAAAAAAAACAAATTTTCAGATTTTTTTTAGAACTGAAAAGTTCCTTTCAAAAAGAAATGAATTTTTGGATCTTTTTTAGAGCTGAAAAGTTCCTTTCATTAAAAAGGAATGAATTTTTAGACCTCTTTTAAAACCAAAAAATTTCTTTCATTAAAAAAAAAATGAATTTTCAGACTTTTTAGAATTGAAAAGTTCCTTTTATTGAAAAGAAATGAATTTTTAGACCTTCTTTAGAACTAAAAAGTTCCTTTCATTGAAAAAAAATAACTTTTTGAAACTCTTTTAGAGCTAAAAAAGTTCCTTTTAATGAAAAGGAATGACTTTTCAGAACTTTTTTAGAGTTAAAAAGGTTTCTTTCAATGAAAAAAAATGACCTATCAGAACTCTTTTAGAGCTGAAAAGGTTCCTTTCATTGAAAAGAAACGACTTTTCAAAACTCTTTTAGAGCTGAAAAGGTTCCTTTTATATAGGAATTACAGAAGAGACCCGTATTTTTAGTAAAATAAATTTGAGAGACAATAAGAAATAATAACATTTCTGACCAATGATGGTAAGTGACTCAAATGATTTTAAATAATCTAAATGACTAGTTATATATCATTTGAATCATTTTAACATTAAATAAAAAATGACCTGGTTATTTAATCATGTGATCTCAAAAATTCTGGCTAAATAATTAATATAATTTAATATTTCAAACAGTTTTATAAATATTTTATGTGATATATTGTAATTCATGCAATATCTAAAATTTGGCCTATATTACATTTAAATAATCAAATAACAAATGATCTCAAATGATTGAATCATTTAAAGTTTATTTAGAGATGATTTCAAAATGGCCAAATAACTTGATCATTTATCATTACTGTTTCTAACAAATAGAAATATTTAAATATTATTCCTTATAATGAGAGTTATTATTATATTAATAAAGAACTAATAAAATTTAATAGGAAAATTAATTTATATGATTATACTATATATAATACTAGAACTTAAGTAGAAGAGAAATAAAATTAATTAATATACTGATTAGATTAGATAGTTTTAGAACCTGTTAAAAAATTATTATAACAGGAAGATTATATAATTCTTTCCAGTATATTTAATTAGTATATTATAATAAAATATATACAAAATCACATTAATAGATATTTTGTTAAAAAGGATATATTAGGATTATGTGATATTATAGATACCTGCCAAAACCTCCTTAAAATAATTCTGTCATACCCCTTTCTATATTTTTAATATAGTTTTAACAGTTTCAGCTTTTGTCATATCAAATGGATTTTATCATATCCCTTATTATGATCTTAATATAATTTTATCTAAGTTTTGACTATTATTAAGAGGTTTTGTCTTTTATCTATATATAATATAAAGATCTATAGCTGGCTAACTAGAGACTGATAGTATAAAGATAAAGTATCCTAAAAGTGTCTTTAAAAAATTGATATAAGATCATTTAATATTATTATATAGATAATGCTAGTCTATAAAATGTATTATCTGTAGAAGAAAAATGTTTATAAATTTTATTAAAACAAAATAATATATTTGCCTTGCTATGTAAAGTATCTTATAGCTAATACATATAGACATATATGATATAATAAATATTTTTGATTCTCATTAAAATATATATAATATAATAATATAATAAGTAATATTTCATAAATTATCTATGCTTTTATATGACTGCTTATGCAATAAATTAATTTTTATATATAAGAAATCAATTCTTAAAATATTTTAAATTTTTTCTCTTACAATATTTAGCAGAATAAAATTTAGTAAATAGTATTTACTGATATGAATATTTACTTCAAAGGGACAGGATATTTCTATTATATTCTAAATAGAATAATATCTATATAATGTTGCTAGATTTTTGTGTAGTTAAATGAAAAAAAGTATATGCATTGCTTTCAAAGCTTTTGTAAATGTTGAGATCTTTAATATATATTCTATAAACTCTTATTCATAAACACAAAATTTAACATAAAATACTTTATATATTTCTCTTATTTCTTTTATTTAATGTGAATATAAGTTCAGAGAGTCATAAATAGAAAATATGAGATATTTAAAAGGATAGTATAATGAAAAGATTAAAATTTTATATTACTTTTTACTTAAGCTTCTAATATTATATTTTAATTACCTTTATTATTATATTTTCAGAATATTTATATATAAAAACTATAGAATATTTAACTAATATATAAACTGAATATTTAATAATAAGTTCTATTATTTACTAAGGGTTAGAAGAAAATCCTTAGATTAGTAATGATAAACTAGGAAGCGTTATAGAAAGAGCAGTTAATTTAATAAAAAACTCATATAGCATAAATTTTAAATATTCTAAAAACTTATTTAAATTATATCACAGGTATGCTATTTTATAAGTGAAATAATATGATATATCAAATAATAAATATGCAAATAATAATACTATTCTGAAAATATAAGTATATTAGTATAAAAATTTTATTAGCTATTAATAGGATTTTTCTTGATGGTGTAGAGAGTTATTTATGCTGAAGTCTATACTTATTTTAATGTGATTAATATTATATCATACAAAATTTTATTCATATAGTCAAGTCATATTAAGTGATTTCTTTGTATTATTTTTGATAACTGTATGATTATTTATATTATAATTTGATATATCAGCATTTATTTAACTTATTTATATATTTGTATTAGTTCAATATTATTTTTAATTGTATTAGCAATTTTAAAATGTTAGAGTTATAAAAATAGTATATTTTAAGAAAAGATATATAATATAAATAAATATATTTAATAATAATCTTTAGACTTATAAAATAAAGAGAAGCCTCTTACTTCAGAATAGATTAAACACAATATAAATAGTTAATGAGAAAACTTTGTTGTAGAAATAATTTTTTTTATTAATATACTACTAACAAGTTAGATTAATATAAGATATTTGTATTATTTTAGAATAAAATATTAGGAGTTAATAGCTATTTTAAATGAAATAATTATATCTAAACTAACTTAAAAGATTCTTTTAGTTAGTCAGATTATTAGTGATAATTCATTATTAGTAGCTTAATTATCAAAAATAAAAGAAAAAATTTATAGTATATATCTTCTGTTA